CCCTTTCAGCAAATTGCTCTTTACACAACCCAGAGGCGTCTTCAATTCATCTACATTCATGACCAAATTCAGACTGATATCCTCCAAGATCGCACCCACCTTTGCAGATCCGTGAGACGACATCGGATTTTTCTCGATATTGGGTGCCTCATTACCAAAGTTTATAGCCTTACTATCTATCAAATCCTGCACTTTGTGCTTGAATGCTTGACAATTCTCTATGCTGTGACCGGGTGCCCCGGAGTGGAATTCACAATGCGCATTGGCATCGTAACCAAAAGGAGGTGTGCCCTTAGGCGGAGCTAACGTCCTTTTCTCAACAAGCTGCAGTTGTAATAGAGTTTGAAAAAGTTGAGCGTACGGCAATGGAGGTACATCAAATACTGTTTTCACGGCCCTATCCCGACCTTGGAACCTTTGCGGAGCAGAATTCTGTTGTCCCTGTTGCTGCTGTGGCTGTTGTTGTTGCTGTTGTGGGACATGAATTGTTACACTGGCAACTTGCTGCCTGCGCCAATTCTGACTTCTATCCCTTCTCCGATCACTACATACCGGATTAGTGTCTCCCTGCTTTTTATTTCCAAATACCTTTTTACCACCCCCAGCTGAGGTAGATTCTCCTGCTTGAATCTTACCGATCTTGATGTCGTTCTCTATACGTTCTCCCAAGAGTATCATATCCAAAAAACTACTCATCAAACTACCGAGAAGCTTATCATAATACAAACCAGAGAAAGTGCCCACAAAGAGATCCATCAATTCACGCTCTACCATGGGTGGTTGCACCCTTGCTGCAAGCTCACGCCACCTCTGGGCGTACTCTTTGAAACTCTCGCCATTCTTTTGAGAAAGATTTTGGAGTTGGACCCTGTTAGGCGCAAGGTCGCTGTTATACTGGTAATGCCTTACAAAGGCCTCCGCCAATTCTTTCCAGCTACCAATTTGAGTGGGCTCTAACCCTATATACCACTCCAGTGACGGTCCCGACAAGCTATCTTGGAAAAATGCATCAACATCTTTTTGTCATCAGAATAAGCAGACATTCTCCGATAATAAGACCGTACATGAACTATTGGGCAAGTATCCCACTTGTACTTATCGAAAGTAGGCACTTTGAACTTGAGCGGCACCCTCAAGCCAGGAACCAACCCCCATGTTAGCCACGTCTAATCCCATGGAATTCTGATTGGCAAGAACTCTCACTTGTTCCTCCAACAGCTTGAACCTTCGGTCATTTTCTGTGGGCATCTCGAGCCCCCTGCCCAGCGGAGGGAAAACATCTTCTTGACGGTCCTCGCTCCAATGAGGATCCTCATTATCATACCCAGCGTGAGCGGCATTAGAACCAAATCCATTCTGATTAAACCTAGGACCATACCCCACATTACCAAAGCCCTGATTAACAGCACCCGACCCAAAACCAGCGTTGTAGGCACCCATTCCAACACCGTTGTTGCTTGCGTTGCCAAAACCTGCATTGCCAAAGCCCTGATTGCCATAACCCTGATTGGCACCACTAATACCTACACCAATGTTTCCAGCACCAACACCAAAACCAGCATTCCCAGTTCCAACATTAAGCCCAGCATTTCCAGCTCCAACATTTCCGTTGGTTTCCACATGCCTGATACCATTACCAGTCACATTCCCATTCCCAACTCCATTATTGTTCTCATCAGTATTGAGAGCGACCACCAGTACAGCATCACCCGCTCGAGGAGTCCCGACCTGAGAAGGATTAATAGCAACCCCATCATGTAGCACACCATGACCGTCAACCCGTGCAATCAGAGGCTGCACTAGAGTCTGAAGCTGCTCTTGGCCCTTGGCCACAGTTTCCATAACCTGCATGAATTGCGTCATCCTGTCGCGCATATCCTACATCTCAGTTTGCATTTGATCCATGGCTTTCTTGCAATTGCTTCTTGTAGAGTAGCGATGGATTCGCTGATCGGCAATCCTGAAATAACCTGTATCAACAGAGGGTTAGGAAACAGCCCAAGGTACCTGTCATGCAAATGATTTATGCAAATGCAAGCACGTATCTATGCATTAGGAGGAAGTCCCCCTCGATTCTAGTTCCAAGACAAATAAAGTCTATCGTCCAATCACGGAAAGAAACCCTCGTATATATATGAAAAACCCACGTGGGTAGCGTACAACAGTAACTGAATACAACCGAAGCAACAAGCATGACCCCAACCAACAAACCTGGTGGTGATCAGCATATCAATGCATAAAAGGTACAAAGAAATACAAAGAAATCAAGTGCGGCTACGGGCACGAAAATCCTCTAGTAACTTCTTCGTAGTGGGATGGTCAGGCTGAGTGAGCAGGCTCTGGATCAACAAATCCCTTTTCCTGAGGGCATCCGAGAGGTTCTCGGCAATGCTCCCACAAACACCTTCTTCAGAACGGTTTTCCACCCTACTCCTCTTAGTATCAGCCCGGAGTTGACAATCCATTAGGGTTGCCTTGGTCTCAACCAACCTATACTCGACGTCTCATCGTAGTGAGGCTTCAGCCTCTATCTTCTTGTCTTTGGCCTTAATCTGAGCTTCCAAATGGGCTATCTGTTGCTTCAGTTTTTATTCCCGCTCTTTGTGGCTAGTCAAAGTGTTGTTCCACAACTTCTCGTACTTGGTCAACTTCCAGTATGCCCTATTCAGGTCCTGCTTCTTGGTGGTTAATACCCCATGCACTGCCTTCATGTCCAACCTAAGACGTTCCCTAGAATCAGTCTCCTTGGTCAAATTAACGCCCAGGTGGTTGATCAACTCTGTCTGCTTCTTGCAGGTGTGTACGGCTTCGTTCTTTTCTCTTTGGAGTTGAGCGATCTCGTTTTCTAGTTCTTCGTTGGCTTTGATCAGTTCTTCATTCTTAGCTTGAACCTGATTATACTTCTGGATTTTGATCATGGTAGGCTCTGAATGGCAGTCCTGCTTGACAGGAAGAAAGGGCATCAACACTTTTTTTGCTCTGCTATGAATCCAGTCCACATAAGGAGGATAAGCCTGATTGTTGCTCTTCCCCAATGAGGTCTTTCCTTTTCAGTGAACTTTGTTCCAGGCATGTTCGAATCTAGCCAAATCATCCCTTCCAATGCGCCAGTGAGGTACAGAGATTCCTGTACCTCCTCTTCCTTAGGAGGGCCCCTCAAGGCATACCCAAACTGTCTGATAGCGATAGCCGGATTGTAATTGATGCAGCCTTTCCTACCCACCAGAGGGACGTTAGGAAAGTTCCCACAGCTGTAAATGATTTCACTCCCCAGGCGATCTCTACCAAACCAATCAATGTCTTCGACAGACAAACTCATCAGGTGCTCAGACCATTCCTTCGTCTCTGCAGTCTTTATAAAAGAACCAGCCTTAGGTAAATGAGTGACAAACCATCTGTAAAATAGTGAAGCACAGTGTAATACCCTAATTTTTACCCCTAAGATCCCACATTTCATTTGCATATCATTCCACAAACAAGATCGTACTTTTTGGTTCTCACCTTTATTTGTTCCTTACTTGCTTTTTGTTGTTTATGTTTACTAACCTCTAACCAAAATACAAAAAAAATATTTTTCAATTTGCTTGTTTCTTCTTCTTTCTTTGTGTGTTTAGGACTTTGTAAGGAGATTGATAGCAAGGACATTCATTCGAGTCTAAATCAGATGGAAGTTTGACCTCATCTTTGTCAAACTATCAAGGGATTACTTCATTTGCAAGTATCAGTATCAGTTGTCTATATTCTCAAGAGATGATTATTCGAGGTCAAGTGGTCTTGTGGAGAATCATCAGTTTATCGAGCAGTGTTTTATGAGAAGCTCGATCCAGACTATTATGGTCAAGATTCATCAGTCCAGGTTGTGTTCATCTGTGGATTTATTTTCTCAGATATTAATTCAGACCAAATTCAAAATGGTTCAGAACCTTTGTCATTTATTACCAGAGTTTCATCTGATGAAGTCAAGTGACTAAGAATAATTCAAGATATGATTCAAGACTTATTACAAGTTTGATTCATTTTTAGTGATGAGCACAATGTTAAATCACGAGGATGGTTGAATTGGCTATCTCGTGGCATGCTTGGTGCTGGCGGTACTGGTGATTCTAGTCAATTTTCTGAGGATGTTTCATTTGATGTTAAGGATATTTCTAACGCAATTTAATTTCATCTAGTGGTGATGTTGTTACAAAACCAAGACACGGGCATGTCTGTTAAGGCCAAGCTAGTGGCACCAGAGTTGGGGAAATTGTCCAGACGTGGTGGTCTTGCTGGGAAATATTTTATTTTTCATGTCACTGCAAAGTTTATTGACAACATTCAAGTGGACATACAGAATTTTCATGTTTTGTACAGTGATGTGTAAAATGACCTGGGGCATATCTCATTTGGTTTGAAGTTTTCTAACTTGACCATGGAGCAAAATCTTGTTGGTATTTCAAATAGAAGTCAAGCTGGAACACAAGCTAAAGATGCTGTTGTGGAAGGCATGGCTTCAGTTGGAGTTTATAATCAACGGATTGCACCTCCAGTATCTGGTCAACGACCAAAAACCCGATATGAGCATGGAGCTGCAGCTGTGCAAGATGAATTGTACATATACGGTGGAAATCATAATGTCCGTTACCTCAGTGATCTTCATGTTTTGGATTTGACAAGATGGAGCTTTCTGCCAAAGTAGACGCTCGTCTTCATAACTGTCCTGAAACCATGATCGCATTGAAAAAACTTAAAAGCAACTTACATTGACAAGCTTGTCTCTGTTTGTTGCAAAGGATTCGTTGAGGTTGTTGATGTACTCATCAAGCAAGGAGTGGATATCAATGCAATGGATAGGATTTTGCTTCAATCTTCGAAGCCGTTCCTCCACACTAATGTTTATTGCAATGCATTATTTGTTGTTGTTGTCAGCAGGTAGATAAATGTTGTTAAATTACTGTTGCATGTTGGAGTAAGATTTGATATCAAGGTTGAACTAGGAGCTTGGTTTTAGGAAAACAGATATGAGAGAAGAATCTCGTGTTGGTGTCGGACTAGCTGAGCCTCATCGAATCACATGGTACGGTGAAGAATATTTTGAACCCACTAAAAGAAATCAGGCATCTCATACTAGAGTAAGCAATAATGCTTCCTGGTCTAAAGTTCATCGAAGCTCAAATGAAATTCTTTCTCCATCCATTAATAAGGAAAGAGATGTCGGAAAGTCAAATGAAGTCATTCCCAATGGTTATCTGAATGCTGATGGGCCAGTACATACTTCTATTCCACTGAAGGAAAAAAATATGACATCTGTGAATATATTGGCAAAACCCCTCAATCTTATGAAAGATAGTGGATGGGATATGCATGCTAATAACAAGGGTGATGATGAACTTGCATTCTCCATGCTGAACCGAAATTTGCCTATCTATATGATTTGTCCTCACTGCAGGCGTTCTAGGAATAAGAAAGATATAGCAGATGTTAAGTTTGATAGCGGTATCTCACAGCTTAAAAGGATTTTTATGGTCACACCAACATTTCCTGTAATACTAGCCACATGCCCTGTTGTGCAATTTGAGGCATCATGCCTGCCTTCATCAGTTCCAGATCGTGAACGGAAATTGCAGTTTAGCCTTGGATGTCAAGTGATCTTGCCACCAGATAGCTTCCTTACCCTTAAATTACCATTTGTTTATGGTGTGCAGCTTGAAGATGGAAACAAGCATCCTCTTAAACCCTTTGAACAACAGCCAGAAATGACTGCCTGGATAACCAAGGGCACAGTACTGCAAATCTTGTCCAAAGGGAGCAGTGATGAGGGATATCAAACATAGTAAATGATGACTAAATCTTTGTGGCCTATTTTAAATCTAAATGAAAGGGTTTCAATAGCTGATCCAGAACCCAGGATGAGGAATTTTGTGGATGGTGAGTATGGTCTATAATAAATTTACTGAGTTGTAATGGAAACACATGAGATGCATCAACAATTAACTGCTTTAATCATAGTAAGCATGTTCATCTGCTCTTTCCATAATCTCGTGTGGATAAATCATACATGCAAATCTGTGGATTGAATGTTGCTGTTTGGATTTATTTGTGGGCAATACTTGCTATGAAAGTATTCTACGATTGAGGGGAGTCTGTGATTTGCACATCAATAGCCAGAGACCTTGAATTGTGCTAGTAATGTGAAATCTCACAAAGTTTTAGTTGATGAAAGGTTGGATGGCATCACCTGCTGCATAGAGTATGATGCAACCAAGACACTGGTTATTGTCTTTAATGTAATGATGATGTTGCTCTTCAATGCCTAACGACATAAACTCAGTGCACAATGAAATAAGCCTTGATAATGGAACAAGAACACTTGCCAAGAATCATTTCAGCAGGAATATTCAAACCAAGCCGGAAGTTACGTCTCCACCTATTCGAGCAGAATGTGAGAAGCTACCAATTCTGCCTGTTTCAAATGCCAATTCAATTTCAGTGCGCCAGGGATTGATGCAACATCCTTTCCGTCAAAATCAGTTCTAGATGCATCACCACATTCAAAGCTCATGTATTCATTGAGTGATAATTCTCGACAGTTTCAGTCCCAAAATTCTAAGTTGAGCTCAGTTATCCAAAGATTAACTAACAGGGTATCCGCAGGTTTAAATAACAGTGTCATTGTTGGTCAATTGAATTCCTATCCAGCTTTCCAATCAGCCATTCATGGAGAGAAATTGAGTCATGAATCAGTTGGGGAAACATCACATATAATGGTCTCTTATGACACTCATGATAGCTCCTGGTTCATCGCGAATGATGGCCAATTTTTCTTCCACAACTTCCAATCAGATTCAGTTCCTGCTCAACTCCTTGAACAAAGTCAACTTTGATTCCATTCTCCAGCAACATTCTCAGTTCACTGAATTTGGAACAGTTGGATGCATTTTGCTGCTCCAAATTTGATTGGATCATTTAAGTTATGAAAAGATATGCGACATGAGCCAATTCTTGGGGCAGTAGTTGAGTACCTCTTGGACAAACCAAACTTCAGCACAGTGTTTTCTGAGTCAATGAAAAATGTAGACATTAATGAAAGCTTCCTCGAAAGATTTTGTAATGGATTACAGCTGTCTTTATTGGAGAAAATTGCCATCAGTCTTGCTTTATCTGACTATGAAAATCCTGATGCTAGGCTATGTGGCAAGAATTTTTGAGTGGCTTAGATTGGAGAGTTGTGTACCAGTCCCGGTTCTTTGAGTTTCCACAAGCAAATTCATTAGTGATATTGTCATGTCTGTATCATCTTCAATGTCTATGGAGCAACAGAGCAAAAACGGCTCGAAATTGAGGTTGAGCTGAGGAAACAATTCATCACTTATCCAAACCATATTGCAAGCCATGTGAATATAATCTCAGCCATGTTACACTCCAAGCTGACCCCACAAGCCTTCCACGTCACCTAAGTGAGCTGAAAGAAAAGGAGTAAAAACGACATGAAAAAGTTTCAGCACAAGTCACGCATAAACACCCAATTCAAAACGGTAGCAAATTTTCATAAACGGCAAATCACTCACGCTCACTCTCAATCTATAAATACAAGCCACATTCATTCATTTCTCTCAAGCTTTTCAAGCCAATTAATCCCTGCAGAATTTTCATCATAATTCCTCAATTTTCTTCAAATTTCACCTTCAAAAAAATCACCCTCAACCGTTCTTCAAATTTCATCAGATTCAACTCTCTTTTCATTCACAACCTTTCCACATAAAAACTCACCATACTTCAACTTCTTCGACACAACAATCAGAATTTCGCAGTTCAGAAGAAGAAGAGGAATAGGAATTGAAGTGTTACTCGTGATTTGAAGGTAGTTTGAGCTTCACCGATCCGTTACCTTTTGTCGTGATTCTTTGAACTGTTGGTACTGTTGTGAAGAACTTTTGATTTCGATCTGTTCGGTGTGATTTTCGCATCCCATCGCTTTGATTTGAGCAAGCTTTGAGCTCGTGGCTATGGTGTGAACAGTGTCGTGTCTAAGCGAAAGAGAAGATGACTGATTATTTTTCTTTCTCTTTTTCCTTTTCACTTATTTTTTATTTGTTTTTATGTTTTTCTTTTTTCTTCTTAAAGAATTTGGGCCGTATGGGCCTTTCAATTTTTTTTACTAGTTTTTATATTTTAAATAAGAAAACTCTTAAAAAATGATTTGAAAAAATATTTTAGTTTTGGATTAATTGTTGTTTTGTTTTGGATCTTGAATTTTGATAAGATCTCATCAATATCAATGGACTTTGAGTGTTGATTTTATCCACTAAAAGAGGTGATTGATATTGATGATGATTTAATCGATTTAAGATTCAAATTGGAATTTCTTTTCATTTTAATTTTCTTTCTTCTTCTTTTTATTTTTGATCGATGAAATCTATGGATCATAGATTGTTGATTATCAAGGTTGTTTAATCTTTATTATTTCAAATCTATGGATGAATAATCATTGAGATAATTCTCCGTACTTTGGAATAGTGATAGATTACCTTTGATTAATTGATGAAAAATCTTGATTGTGATGAGATCATTACCTCTTTTCTTTTTGTGTGGCATGTTTTAGGAGAGTGATTTACATATCACTTCTCTAACATGTGTTAACACTAACATTATTATTGACCGACCTCAGATAGTCATGGTTTCTACATAAACCCGATTACGATTGCTTAACATAGCGCTAAAGTGTCCCTTAATCGGAAAATGATCATTCGTGACTCAAACTTACGTTTGAAAGTCCAAGTATAATTAGTTGCTTGTCTTAAGTCCACTACCTATGAAACTCATTGTTAGGAGGCTTTGATTCTATCAATCCTCTAATGAGTTTTCATTAACCTTGGTCTAAAGTGCAAGAATTAATCATCATTGATCATATGTTCTAACCACTAATTACTAATTCACTAACATTATCCTTGTTTAATTTTGTTTATATTCTCTTCTTACTCCTTATTTCTTACTTTTATGCTTCCATATTATCATTTCATATCATATCTTTGTTTACGTTTATGTCATTTCTCTTTTGTCCACTTGGACCATACCTTGTTCAAAACACTAATAAAGGATAAAAAATCTCTAAAAAACTTGGTGCTATTAACTTTGTGGTTATGCTCTTGGACTACTCTTAGACCTTGGACTTCATGGACCTTTGGACTTAGAATTAGGACTTTCATTCCTATGCTTGGAGTATCGTGGATCTTAGCCTTTATTTGGCTCGCTCATTAGCTTATGCTTTAAATCGGATGGAATTCTTTTTGCTTGCTATGGAGTGTGCTACAAGTCGGTTAGATCTTTCTTACCTCTAGCTTTTATTTTGGTTTCTAGGATAGTCACTTCATCTCCTCCCCTTCTTAAATTTTCAAAACTTTCTCCCTCTTTCAAAACCTTCTTGGTTTCAAACTTCAAAACCGCTTTCGCAATAAAACCTTGACTTTTGTCAAGTGATTTTTTTTAAACTTTGTTCTTCTCAATAAAAGTCAATCAATGTTAATCATGCTTTGACCAATTTCAAAAGACATAAAAAATACAAAAACTCATCAACTCTTTTTGTGCCTTTATGCACTTTTTCACTTTAAAACTTTTCATAAAAGTTTAGACATGATTCATTTCTATAGTTGAGATGTAATTCTCCTATTCCCCATATTATTAAGACTTTGACATTTTCCACGTTGATGTTGAGTGATAGTCTTGTTGATAATCCAAGCAAATCCTCCATCTTTATGTGACGCAGATGTAGTCTTAATACTCGTGGGTGAATAGTCGCAGTTTTCTCCTTAAAATGACGACTTGTCTTTACATCTAAAATCAATCAAAACCAACAAGTTTTTGTCATTTGTACCACGAACTACGGGGTTTTGATCCCATATTGCACTTTGTGGGTACGTAGGCATGAGGCGATAAGTCTCTCCAAACACAAAAATCTAAAAAATAATTCTCTTCTCATCTCCCCAATCTCTTTTCAAACAAACCATTTTCAAACCAAAAAACGTAAATATTTCAAAGGGCTCCTATAGAGTACTATAGACGTTTTGGGTGCTAACACCTTCCCATTGCGTAACCAACCCCCTTACCCCGATCTCTGTTTCTGGTTCTTGTTTTAGAACTCTTTGGTTTTGTTTGCTCTTTTTCCTTTCCTTTATTTGGATAAAATAAAAGTGCGGTGGCGACTCTTGTTTTTTTGAGTTAAGTTAATTAATAACTTACGCTCACGATTTTTACCGCTACAGAAAAGTGGCGACTCTGCTGGGGATCATTTAGGTTCCTAGTGGGTTTCGCCTACTTTGATTTATTTATTGTTTTTTGTTTGACTTGTTTGTTATTGATTGTTCTGTTTTGGTGCCTGGTAATCTGTGTGGTGAGATAAGTCTTATACCCGGACTTGAGTGCACTTATGATAGGAGGGTGGTATAGTCTTGTTGGCTTACGTGGAGTAGTCCTTACTAAGCTGACTTGAGATCCCCCGCTCGGTGGAGGCCCCTTTGGAATTACTGATGTCTTATGAGTAGTCGTAATTGATATTATTTTTTCCGACTGGGAGCCTGAGAAGCTGAGGACCTTAGAACCCTTTAACCCATCTTGGCCTTATTAGGACGTGGTGCGGTGGCTGTTCAGGTGTAGACTTGAATTAGTTGTTACGCGATACCACACTCAGATGAGTTTCTCTTAAGAATATTGTTGGTCGACGAGTAGTCGTTTAAGCCGATAATATCCAAAAGATGGAATTATGATTCTGGGAACTTTTTAGAACCTTGTTCTACAGGTGATGATATAACCATAGTACATACCATTGTGGGTTGGTTGG